GGGAAAGACGGGGTGTCATTTTCTTCTCTGATCTCACAGACATGTAAAAGCTCCTAACAGTTCTACTTAAGTGTCACAAAACTTGAAGAACAACTTGATACTGATTGTCCTGGCTACCCTTTGTGAAATAGCTGCAGTTTTCTTTCTCAATACAAGACCGATGTATAGAGAAACCCACAGAAATTAACTGCAGTAGAACATCTGCCAATTGGCATTACACCCAAGGGTGCCTATAAGAAAACAGAAGAATGTCCATGGGTTTCCCTCTCTATCTACTAAAACTAATTAATGAGTTTACCAATTGACACAATTTTTAAAAACACGCAACCCTACCTGATTGTAGTGGGTTTCACAATATGCCAAGCCTTTTCTCTCATAATGGCGATGACCCAGGAATGGCTTTTCACATTTTGCACACACAAAATGCTACAAAGAAAATGACAGACATTTTGTTTGTTTGTTTTCTTGGAAGTAATGCTGTTTTTTCTGGAAAGCAAACCAACCTAGCCCAATACTAACTGTTACTGAACTAGCTGTGCCATCTTGAAAAGGAGAATTAAAACTTTTTTGCTTCTACATTGAGACCACTATAATAATGCTCCTTTTAATGTCTTCAACATTTCAATCCAAAAGTTAAAAGAAGAAAAAACAAACAAAAACAAGCAAAGGGATTCTGATACATTACCAATGAACTGGATGAAAAGAGTTTAAATAATTGGCACCGACATTTTGTTCTTGTGAAGAAAGCCTTTGCTGGAGGAGATTTTCAAAACAACAGAAGGAATAGCCTGTCTGTCTTCCTAAATCTTGTACAGGGCCACAAAATATGAACCCTCACATAAAATGCTTTAGAGATAATTACATGGTAGGTTACTATGGAAGACATAAGCGTAGTAAGATACTCAGTAATATTATAGTTACCACAGAATTGTTCTGCCTTTCCACATGTATTTTTTTGGACTCTGAAATTTTCTTCTAAGGACATCACAGTGCTTCCTTTGATTACTGATATTAGATTCACAGTCACAGCTCTCTGTAATGTAGGAGATAACTCCTATTTCACAGTGGCAGACCAGCCACAAGAAGGGTGAAGACGGGATTAGGAGAAGGCATTTACTAATCATTGCTGCATATTTTGTTAATGAAATTGATCAGCAAAATCCCAGGTAAGTATGTTAATGTTTACATTTAGAAAAGACAATGCATGGTTTGATGTTTACCTCCACATGCCATTGTTTGCCCATAGCATTCACCACACGGCCTTCAATTGGTCTTCTACAAGCCCCACAGATGGGAACACCCATTTTGTCATGGCAGGGTAAGCAGTACAATTCTCCCTTCAACTCACGAGCATCAGCAGTAAGTTCCTTCCTGTTCAAAAGTCAATGAAGTGAGAGCATGAATAAAAGCACTGAACAATGTCAACTCTTCACAGTTTCTGAAAAGAAAAAAATAATTTTTAGAATTTGTTTTACAACTTGTATTTGCACTACAGCAATGCAGCAGCATCCAATATGATACAGTTCAATGTGGTTCAAGACGGATCAAGTCCACGCTAAATTGAGAACAGGCTGCTAAACAAGATGCACAAAGTGTGAAAACAGCTGCTGAGCTATTGTCATTCTGCATTCTGGCTATGTAGCACAAATGTGTGTGTACATGCTGAAGACATCTGGTTTATATTCTGGCACTCTTAGCACCAGTTTATTTTAGATTTACATAACTGTAACAGAAAGTAACATACAGCCCTCTACATCTACGTATATTTTCCCTGTTGTATCAAACTTCAGAGAAAGAAAACTAAAGACCCACATGAGCTAACTATGTTTATTTATTGCCAACTAATGATTCATGCTACTTCCAACGATGTCCCATGATCTGTGCATCAGTGCAGAAATGTGCTGCTTTGTATTCTTCAGTTGCAGAAGGTGATAAAACAAGGTGGGAGAAAGCTTGTAATAAAGGCTTTAAAAGGAGAGAACAATGTTTGCATTCGATTCAACTAAAAAGGAATAGCATAGATAAGGTGCTAATTCAAGCAGCCAATTTTTTTTTTCCTTTTGTAATAGAATAAAAAGCCGTCATTTTTTTTGCAGCTACAGAAACCATTATTTGTGTCCCTATCTCTTGCAGTACCACCTTGTCCTGCAGAGTTCAACCTTTCACTACTCCCCAATACATCAGCTGCTGTTTCAACTAAAGGCCCAATAGAAGTAACACACATCTGGCTGCAAGGCACCCAACCCTCACCCCTCTTGCCAGTTGCACAGGGCAGGTTTTAACTTTCAGATGTAAATCAGTGAAGCAAATAAACCCAACATTTTCCTGTTTTAGTTTGCAGAACCCAAGTTACCCGCAGTTTGCACAGTTGAAATGATCAGGATGATAAGGATCATTTTTGAATATGAGAGGCTGTTCATCAATAATGGCATGGCACTTCTGGCAAATGTACTTTCCCAGGCCTCTGGCTTTTTCCCTGTTGTGGCATGGACGGCAGAGATGTCTGAAACAACATAAAAAAGAGAGCTAAGTACTGGTATCACGCACTACAGTGCAAAATATAAAGCAAAAAAATTATTGAAATCTAATTTGTCAGCCCTTTCAGTAGAGCAAATAGTCTTAAAAAATGTCTTTGTTAGGTAAAATAAGTTCAGAAGAGGCAGGGTGATACACTTATTTTCTGTTATTGTTTCTTCAGCTCATGTGAGTTTAAGCTGTGTTAAACATACAAAACAAAGTTTGCAATAGATTCTCATTACTGAATGTTTTATTCTCAAAATCTTAAAAAATTAGATTGGAAGCACACACATGTCCTAATTCTGCAGAGAACTGTATATCATATTATACATGTGCCAATGAACATAGAACCCACTTGAAAAACATTCCTCTGATTGCAGTTGGTAAAACTATCCTACTCTATCAAGGAGGCCACTGAACTGAAAGTGATTATTATTAAATCAGGTGCTAAACTAGACCAAAAATGGAAACTCCAGCTGGAAAAAAACAAAGTAAAAATGTGTTAAAAAAATAAAGACAATGCCTCTGTACCTTTATGTTTTCTCTCTTATTATGTAAAACCAGTGGCCCTGAAAGGTCACTGAGTAGAGATTTTGCCAAGAAACCTGGTGCTGAAGTAGGTAAACTGTTAATATTTTATGTGCGTATTTTAAGATACCCATTCTTAGTTTTTTTAATGCACTCTTAGACCTTTTCCCCACAAAAGACACTTCAGTTGCTTGACCTCAACTAGAAAGTTTCAGGAACCAAAACCTCTCAGTCCCCTCTCTCAGTTGATTTTATTCATGCTCAGTCACAGAAGGAAGGATGAAGATCTACCTGCCAGCATTCTTGACAAATCCGATATCAGCCAATACTTGTTGGCAGATATCACAGCAGAAGCACTCTGGATGCCAGCTGTTGTTCATGGCTTTGATAACACGACCAATAATGAACTCGCCTGTAAGAAACACAACACTGGGATGTAAAATACTGTGCTAGAGAAAGTTAAAAGCAACCCACAACTGAATTGCTACAACGTCATCAGCCTCTTCCTCCCTCCCAAATCTGGTAGGATACATTGCTTTCAGTGGCACAGTTCTGGTTCTAAAGTCTGCAATTTGGGTTTGTTTGATTTTTTTTTTGCTATTGGTCAGAAGGTAACATCCTTGCTGATAGAGGACCTTCTGTTTTCTACATACAAGTCCTTCTACATGCACTCTCCACCTTCTCTCTGCAATCATCCTTTTTCAGTCCCTTCCCTGTTTTTACTTATCTGTCCCTAAGCCATTAAGAAATGAGTTCTTTATATAGTATGTCTTTCTAGTGTCCTAAGTATCTTTCTCTTTCTTTTCTTTCAGAAAACAACAATTTTAACTTGTCATGTACACAGTAGTGGTTTCTACTTTGCTAGGACCAAGCCATAATGGGACTCTATGCTCAAAGAACAACAGATCTGAGCTTGGGTGGCTGTGGACCTCCTGCAAAAAAACCCACAACCCATGGAGCCAAAACACAAAGCTGCAGTGAAGCTGCAGAACAGTCAGTCCAACACACACAACTTCTGACCTACCACAAGGAGTCCTAATCTCTGAGGCATTAAAAAAATAGCATGAGAACTACTGTTTTGCATGCATGGTGTGTGACTGTACAGCACAGGCAGTGGAGCCACGTCCAACACATGCGTTATTCAGTCATTCTCCATGTGTTCATTGTAGCCAAGGCCCCTGAGTGATGCCAAGTGTCCTGATTTGAGTCAGGATAAAGCAAATTTTCTTTTTACCAATTTTTTTTTTCTTCAGTGAACTCTCTTTTAAGCAGCACCTTGGCTGAAATTAACTTCAAGTTTTCCAGCTAGTGGACTGGTAAAACTTGAAAGTTTTTTGTTACTGCTGAGAGACCAACGACACTTTTCTCCACTTGTTGAATCTGCCGCTTTGGACACTAGAAGAGCAGAAGAGTCCTATCTACAGCCCTCCCGTAGGGAGGAGAGGACTAGGCAGAGGGCAAAACTGGCCAAAGAGATACTCGATCCATATATATTTAACACTTGGTATAAATTCAAGGATCATGGAAGTCAAGCCCTTCTTCTTCTTTCCTTCTCTTCAATCAATTGCCAGCACCCAGGGATGACTCGGTCTATCCATCTCCTTTGATTCAGAGACCTGTGCATTCCTGACCGTCACATCTCTTCCCTCAGCTCCTGTCTGCTCTGTCACTATCTCCATAAGCAGTCTGGGGCTTTTCAGAACTGCTCACAGCTCAGGAGAGTGCTGTGGGAGTTGCTGGGGGTAGGAGGTGGTGACAAGGTCTTGCACATTCCTGCACATATTTGTATATATTTGTACATATTTTATTTTATCATTACTATTTAATTAAAGCTGTCTAGTTTAGTTTTAAATCCGCAAAGCCTCTCTCCTTATTCTCTCTCCTTTCCTTACCTGGGTGGGAGAGGGAGGGAATAGAGAGCATTGTTGTCACTGGTTTAATTGCCAATCCTGAGTTAAACCGTGACACAAAGCCTCTGCCTAAAATGTGTTGGGAGCTTGGCTTCCCAGTGCCATGGAAGGCAGAGACCTGGCTTTGGAGAATGTGTAACTCAACCTGCCCAAGGGGAGTGACTGGGCAGGTAACTGATGTGGATGAAAACATCCAGCATGCAACTCTGTGGTGTTCCCATGAAGTTGTCGTTTTTCAAGAACAGCACCCTGTGGACTCCAGAAGTGTCAGGAATGCTCAATGCCTCATTGCTGACAACAGCCCCATTGATTTTGGCTGTACTTACTAAATCCAAGCAGTGGCAAAGCCACCTTATTGAGGTTTTAAGGGAACTGATGCTACAAGGAGCTAGGGCAGGAGCAGTGGGAGCTGTGCTGGCTGAGCCAGAGAAATCGTGGAGATAGACAGCATATCTCCTCAGAAAGCGCCATCAACCACCTTCTTCCTCTTTCCCAGCTTGGTCACAGCCACAGCTTTAAATTCAAAGATCCATAACATCTGCTTCCCTCTCCCTTGGTGTTCAACCCCTCCCTTCACATGGGAAAGGCTACACTGGGATAAGTGAAAGCTGTAGCATATTGCCTATGTCCCACAGAAATATAAGAGCTTCCAGACCAGTTTAAGCAATACTCAAGTAATGATTTCACAGTCCTGCCGAAGCATAATGTGTCACACACAGGGGAAAAAAACCCAGAACAAGCAAATTATTATAGTGCAGGACACACACAAGCATTGACATCAACAGTGGGAAATAAAACACGGCCCTCAGTGTTACACAGGGATGACATCAGATGCTGAAGCCTGATAAAGATTATCTCCACTTCAGTGGCACAGGACAGCATAGGTGGGTTACAATAGTCAAATGAGATGACAAATACTTGTTGCAGGGTTTCAGCTGCACAAGCACATGTGAGTAGATGTACATAACCAGGAGTCATGAATGGTCTGTTCATCAGATTGCTGTATCAACAGCTAAACTACTCAAATAATACAAACTTTTTATTTTAAATCCCATTGTTTTATGAACTTCAGGGAAAGCAGCTCCCCAAATTCTCTGAAGTCTAGTCCATTCTGGAAGTTCAGATGCTGAGCCTCACAGGGCCACCTCCAAGAGAGGATGTACAAGGGTTGCACATCCTCTCCCAGTGACATTCCCATTTCTGATCAGCGTGAAGTGTTGCACCTCAATGTAAAACTTACCACATTGATGGCAGCAAGGGGCAAAAAGCATTTGAAAATCATGTTCACAGTACTTCCTCCCTTCAAACTGCAAATGGAAAAAAATCTGAGTGTTAGAGGGATGCAAAGCGTGCCCTTAACATAAAGGCTGTAACATACCAGTTTGTTTCCAGATTCAATTAGGTAGTAAAACATGAGGGGCTGCACAAAAAAGCAGAGCATGTGCTAGGCATTAAATCCACCCACCTTAATTCATCACCTAGTTAGCATGTAGTGTTACTAGCACAACATTCCTCTAATACTGCTGAGAGTGTAAGGCATTTTCTCTCACCATTTGCATCACAAGAGACATCTGAATTTTGACAGACTGCAGAAACTCTGATGCAACTGAGCAAATTATGGGCAGGAAATTAGCTAAAGAAAACCTTTCCTGGGGGGAAGCATTCTCCCTGAATCCATTTGATCTCTTCCTCACTCTACATTTCCTGCAAGAATGACCCAGCATACCAGAGGAAATAAGTACAAGGGGAGGAAGGACACAGGAATCTTTGCAATTTATGGAAGAGCCAACATATGAAGGGAAACAAGGCTTTTCCTTTGGGATGCTTATTTCATAGAATCATACCATCATTTAGGTTGGAAAAAACCCTTAAGATCATCAAGTCCAAATGCTAAGGAACAACATTCACTACGTTGACTAGATGAAACAGAGAACCAAGCTTAAGGGATTCGGATTTGGATCTGAATCTTTTCACAGCTTAGAGAAGTTCAGCTGCAGTTCAAGCTCAGATAGAAAAAAAACCAAACATATGGGGAAAAAAGTAAGTTCTACAGCACTGCATTAGCAACTTAGCTGGAGAATATGTGAAAACATGTAGGCAATATGTCCTGAAATGAAGGGAAATGTTTCAATACTTTCAGGCACATCATTACTGGACACACAAGCCAACTAGCATGTCAAAACCAGACAGACAATATTAGGTATGCTATGAAATGTTTGAATTTGAATGTGCCAGTTTAAAACACTGAAAAAAGGGGGATAGCAGGAAACCCCATTTCTTTTTACTGGGTCTAAGACAAAACAAAACGAAGAGCATAAAATACTGCCCACAAATTAAGCTTCGGTGCATGGATACAAATTACAGCAATGTATTTCCAGATTACCTGTTTTGTACTATGAAATCCCAAGGTTCAAATATAATGTCAGTAATTACTCATGCAATATCCAAGCCATTGGTAGGATGTGGATCTAATGAAACTCTCTAGAAGTCACCAGATACATGAGATCAGAAACTAATTCCTATGCCCAGCTTGAATTGCACCTACTAGGAACAGAAAGATGTAAGCTTTATACCAACTCTTCCAGAAGTCTCTGCTAACAATTTATCAAGTGTTTCTTCAGTGTAATGCTCTAAAACAGATTATTTTTTTTAATTGGAGATTTTAATTTCTTTTTAAATTGAGGCACAGAATGCTATTGCTGTCTCAGAGTAATGGAAATTATTGGGTCATTGAGAATGGTGCTTTCTTCCACCCAGATAAAATCATTTTTTAAACTGAAAAGAATCCAAAAGCTTCCTGTTATGTGTAAACAGGTGGTCCAGTAGGAGATGCATAGGTTTGCTTGGATTTCAGAGCCACTCCATGTTTGATCTGGGTGGACTGAACACGTTTTCTTTCCCTTTGGTTTACATCAGGGAGGTTGGTGACCGTTCAGTCTTGTTTGTATTTTCCAGCTTCTCAGCTCATTTGTGCTACCTTTTGTGAATGACTCAATTCACCCATCAGAGAAAGCCTTAAGCTTCTATAACAAATGCCAGAGCCCATATTTTAAAAGCAAGGTCTTGTGACTGTGGTCCATATGTTCAATGGCTCTGCATAGAAAATTTCACCATGGCATAACTTTCAGCTGATCTCCACAATTTTTATCTAACCTAGTGGAAAGACATGCATAAAGTGTGTCTTTAAAGACTTCTAAGATTCAGTTTTTGGTTAAGCCCATTTTAAGAAAACACTCCAGCTGCAACTGGAATCAAAACAAATCTGACAAGTTCATGGCAGCTGTGCTTTCTTTTAATTTTCCTGTAGGTTATTTCAAACATCTTAGAAAAAAAGTCCAAACGGAAAGGAATTCACTCTCATTTAGGAGACGAAAGCCACATAACATTCCATTTTAATAAGACTGATAATATTGATAACAACAACAATACAGGTCCCCAATTACAGCTCTTGCAAGTACTTCGTAAGGATTTTGTTGTATTTTTTCTGTTGTTGGATGCACCTCTCTAAGCCCTTCTGTCCTGTTTAACCCCCAGCACAGCACTGAAAGAGTAGATTGGGCTTTTTCTGAAACCACCCAGCAAGAGGCTCTTAATTAACTGCTGGATCAGGTGTAGGAATTACCTTTCCTAACCTCTTCTGTCTGAAGGTGAGGTGCTCACACTCCCTAGTGGGACAGAAAGGCAACCTCTAGTAGGGAGGAGCCATTCTTGGACCGGAGAGTAATGTGGGTTGGAGGAAAAACTTGCTCACTGATTACAGTGGGGCCAACCTGTCCCTCTGGACTCGCTGCTCCTGAAGCTCTCCATTTTTGCTGGCTGCTCTGCTGCTGCTAGTACAGGACTGTACGCTGCTACTCGTTCTAAGATTCTGCAACAGCAAGTCCAGGGAATACATGGCTTCCAGGTCATGGAGTAAAAGCAGATCAGAATTGCTATAACTTCTGAAGGCAAATCATGATGAGTTCAGAAATTCTTCTAGCATGTGCTTCTGGTAATTTCTGTTTAGGTTGACTGCACAAGAACACATGCTAAACTGATGATACTGAGCAAACCTGAACACAAATATTCTCTAGCAAGCCCCATGGAACATTAAGCACACAGCTCTTGCTTACATCCTTATGCAACAAAGCCAACACTGGCTGGTTACAAATCCGTATTATAATTTCTAACATAGGCTTATAAGGACACAAAAAAATTTCCTGCCTTGCTGTGCAAACTCCCAGCTGCAGATGGGCCCTGCTCTGGTGTGGCACTGCTTGTGCCTGCAAGCAGTTTGGCTCTGAAGCCAGACTGTGGCGAGTTGTGCTGATGGAGGTCCCTGCAAGCAGCCCAGAGACACAGCCTGTGGTGCAGGAGACCTGCATTGGCATTTCTTCTCACGTAGCCTGACCAGTTCAGCCCCTGCTAATGGAACAGAGTGTGAAAACTTATCACTGCAGCGCTTGATGGCAAATGTGGTAAGCGGCTTAATGACTAACTGGGGTAACTCAGCAAGGTTTGCAATAGGCCGCAAGAAGAATATTTGACTTCTCAATTGCTAAGAGCTGGAAATCATTCCCAAGAAACACTAGCTTAGCTAAACCTGGCACAGAACAAACACCAAATCATGCTGAGTGACCAACAATGCCTGTGTTTACCCATAGGTCACTTGCTCAGAAAAACATGTTACTTGGCCACACCTCCAAACATGCATTTTCTCAAAGAGTGTATTAAGCTAGTCAGAGGAAGATAATCTTTCTGCCTGCCTTCTCCAGTCACTTTTTTTTGACAGTGATACAAATCAACTCAAGTCTTTAGAGCACTGCCAGCCATCTCCTGAGTATTGGCCAAACTGATCCCACCCTTTACTTAGGGTTATCCCTCTCTCTCCCCTAAATGCTGTCACCCAGGAAGTTCCAAACACTCATGCCAAGATGCTGAATAAAAGAAAAGCAAACTGTTCCTTTGTCCTCCCTTCTCTCTGAGCAGCACCACCAGGAAACTTGCAATTGTCCCACTGACCACTTCAGTGCTAAGTGAAAGCCATTCTGACTGCATGGGACACATACGAACACCCTAAACAAAACAGACAGAGGAGAAGGCCCTGCCAAACACTTCCCAGCTAAAACAGCCTCAAGGGCACAAGGGTTGTGATAGCACAGGTATCTACTGACCTCTCCACCCTCTAAAAGATGCCCAGGACAGGCCAGTATAGATTGGGGAGGAAGGCTGGGTAAGATTTATGAGCCATCACCTGAAGGCTGTTAGAGGGCTTAAGCAGACAGAAAAGCACGTCTCTTCAACAGCAGCAGACAGACTTGCTGATGTGGAGAGAAACTGCATGATCTTGTGGTATACAATAGAAGAGCTAGAGTCAGAAGGGTGATGTGAACTTCAAGCCACACACAAGTCTTCACATATTCATTTAGTGCTCATCAAAACTATTTTACCTCTGTAAAAGCTGTGGCAAAATAGTGTCTATTCTTCGTTTCGCTATTTCCACTTTCTGTGTAACAGTTCTGAAGGACAAAGCATCTACATAGCCTGAAAAAAAACCCTAGCAATGTTAACTAAAATATGTTTAGTACATGAGGCTGTTTTAATTCCTGGGAAATTCTATCAACACTCACTTCTGACTTACTGTCTTTAACAGGAGGTGTAACTTGGCAGTCAGAGAGTGCTCAAAGACCAGTATAAATAAGAACGTTAACAAGGTGGCAGCAGAAAAAAAAAAAGCCTACATCCAATATATCTAAATAACACCAGGATACTTGCCCCTGGCAAGGACATTCAGATACGGCCATCGCGAGCAACAGCGACATCGTAATATTCCTGGATTAGGTGCAAATGTAACTTCCTTTCCACTGGGGTCCTCCCCCATCCTCTAGGAGACACAGGCTGCCTAGAGCAGGATTTCTCAAACTTTTATTTCAAACAAAGTACCATTGAACTTTCTGAAAGAGGTCCCTGAACTATCCCACTGTTCATAAAAGTCAGAAAATGGATAAATAAAGTACTCATTATGGAGAAAAAAATACATTTTATTGTACTAATTCAATTTTATTAACACAGTTACAAATATTTTAGTTCTAAACCATTTGTATCACTTTATGCTTGCCTAGAGTCTTAACACATCAGGATTCCTTGCCTTGCCTGCAAGCAGGCAACAGCTCAGTATGCATTAACATTTTTAATGTAATGTGAATGTATCTAGAGGGGGTGGGTTTTTTGGTGTCTTTTTTTTTTAATTGCTACTGCCTTGCAGCTCACCTTTTGAAGTCTTACGGAACACTCATGGCTCATTTACCACAATTTGTGCAACACTATCCCTATCGCACTTAAAAAATCTTTTGATCTTCAGAAAGGTGAGAGAAAACAAACCCAAAGAATCCCCTTTGCCATTCTCTTTTCCAATACACACTCCTTCCTCAGCCTCTCAACATGGTTCTGTAAAATTGTAAGTATTACTGTGGAAGATACGCTGTTGAGCTCTTGCCCCAAGGATGGCACACTGTACATGAGAGCACAGCACTGTGCTTTTAACACACTGCTCACCTTCTCTTCCAGTTCACAGCATGACATAAATCCTGTAGTCACTACTGTAAGTTGCAGTACAAGCTACTTCAGCGGGACCTTATCCCTCTCAACAGTAATACCCTGTCACACATCATGTACTCCTCCTTATACCAATCACTTCGTATTTTATGAACTAGTCTTAAGCTTTCACTAAAGCCACTTCATCCTTGAGAGAGCTGAGCCACATCCTGAATCCCCACTACAGGAGAAAGCAAAGAGAAAATGACACTGAGAACAAAAAACCCATCTGAACTGAGGGCAATATACCTGGGGCTGAGAAATATGAGTGAGAGTGGGTTTTAACTCTTGAAAACATGCAAGGACTGCTCATTTGGAATGCTCCAATTTGTTAAATGCAGAGTTAACCCTACTTTGGCCCTGTTTAGCTCGGGCTGTCAGCACATCCTCACCTCAGCATGCTGACTTACAGCTCATGTCTACAAACAACTTTTCACATGCTGTGTTGACCACACTCAACCCAGCAATAAACCTCCTATGGACCACAGGATGCTTGGGTTTACTTTTGTAGGACTGTTCCCCTCTAAGAAGCATGCTTTCTCTGTATTTCTGGTATGATAAACAGATTGCTTTCACAGAATTCAGGGGAAAAAGCCTGCACTGAGAGAGAAATCTCCAGCTTTTCTCAGCTCTGATAACAAGAGGCAACACATTTAAAGTATAAGGTATATAAGGTAAATAAGGTTATACACACTGATGTCCTCCAAACTGGCACGGAAACACTTCTGCTTTTTTGTCGCTCTATGGGCCATATCCTTTTGGAGCCCCATTCTTACCAAGGGACTTTCTAAGCTACCGATCTGCCCGCAGCTGCTTCTGGTATAAAAATGAACGTGGAGGGCCAAGGGTGGGGGGTGAGAGGGGCACTGTGCCCCCCTTACTTACCTCGTAGAAGAGCCCTTCAGGGAACTGCTGAAAGCACTGGGCACAGACAAAACACTGCTCGTGGTACAGCTCACCGTTGCTGTTGACAATTTTCTCGGCAGGGGCAAAGCCACCTCTGCAGCGCTCACAGATGGCATTTGCAAGTGCATTTGCCATGTTGCTGTCATTAAAATAAATAAAAAAAGAGAAAATTAGTCCAAATAGTCAACACCACTGGTTGCAGGTCTCTGTGGTTTGTTTTTTGTTTGTTTGTTGTTGGGTTTTTTTGTGGTTTGTTGTGTTGTTGTTTTTTTTTCCCCAAAGCCAACTGCAACTAATGCTAAGCTGCTCAAAACAAGTTTTTTTAATGGACTTAATGACTTGTGGCATTCCCTCAGAAATAAACCTGCCATTTTCCACTGCTCCTAAATTCTTCAGAAACAAAAACCCCACAAGGCACTCTAATAACTATTAATTAAAAAAGACAAACAGAAATATTGTTACTACAGATATATTTACAGGCTTTTTACGATGAGAAAAGGCAGGTAATTCAAAGAAATAATGTAAAATTACAAAATACATTAGAATTACAGAAAACAAGGGTAAATATTAATGACAATTGGCCACTGGCATGACATAGGAAAACATAGATGATAATTCCAAAATAATTCGTAATTATAAAATCTATATAACAGCATTGGTCCAAAAGCTCTAACTAAGAAATGTGAATGTAAGGTATTCTAGCCTTGCAGATATTACTGAAAACCAGTGCAGGTAAACAATTATTCCTTACATAAGCTTCACATAGCTTGAAATAATTTTACAAATGTAGTTTGAAGCCATGCAATTTTTGGTTTGTTTGTTGGGGTTCATCTCAGGGAGATCAGCTCACGGTGTGCTGGTGTCAATCCAGGGCCAAGGAGGAGGGTGGGAATGCTCTGGCTGCCTCTCTGCAGCCCATATAGGCCAACACAAGCTGGTGACCCCATGCCAGGAATGCAAAAATTACTCAAATTGCAACCTTTGTTGCTTTTCAAAGGCACGTGACCTTAAGATGACAGCGCAGTAGCTACTGTATCAGAGGAATTAGTTACTTCACTAGGATCAGGGTCACATCTGCAGACGGCAGTACAGCTGTGCTTCAATTAATCAAAGCTCCTGTGCCAGAAAAAGCCTCAATTCATTTTTTCTTCGTAACCACCTTCTTACTTTTATTGAATCTCTCAAAGCTATGCCTTTCAGGATCACCTCTCTGCCCTAATACCATTTGACAGCAGAGTGCAAATACAGGGCCATGCCCTTGTTTCATTACAATCTGAGCACAGCTGACAAAACCATTGACTACCTGGAAGCTTATTAAACAACTGACAATATTTTAAACACACGTGCACACAGGCCCATGTTTTGATACAGATATCATGCTGTGCCCATAAGTGCAGAGTCCTTAGTCCTCTGCAAGATGCCAACCTTTCCCTCTAAGGGGATATGAACTCCTGGCTCCCACCAGGTTCAACAGGACCTGAAGTCATTCCTTGCACAGAATCTGAGGGGGCCAGCAAACACATAGCACATGGTTTAAAAAGGAATGTGCTTTATCCGTTTCTTAACTGTGTCATAGAAAAGCCCTACACAAGGTCACATCTGACCAGTTATTATTAGCTGGCTTTTTTTTTTTTTTCCTCTCTCTCTCGAGATCTTTGCAGAAGAGGAAAACAGTAACTGCTATCTAAAATATTCACTGCCCACTCAATGAAATGAGTGAGCAAATTTCACAAGGAGATGAGGTAGAGACAGGTTTATCCCATACTATGCCATACATTACAGACAAGCCTACAAACTGCAGTGATTATCCATATAAGCTGTGGTTAACTATAAAGCTTGGCAATGGTCTCCACTAATTGTGTATGCTTTCTGTGGCAGAAAATCTCAGTCACTTCACCCCTTCTCCTTATTAATCTAAATGAAGAATAACCACAAGACGAACCAGGACATTCATCCTCACCTCAACAGTTCTTGAGCACCAAGGACACTAAACTTAAAAAATTATTTCATGTTAAGAGCTGTCGGGCACAAAGAATAATCCAAGCAAAAACATAAAAACAAGTTCAAAACCAAATGAGAGCACAAAGCTTTCCTCCCTCAGTGTGCAAAAGTAATAGGAGTTGAAACACATCATATATGTAAAAACAGAGATGTATGTAACACTTCTGTATTAGTGAAGCAGTTTATCCACTTGCCCAAAATTGCAGGCACACAACCTGAAGTCAGAGAGACTACTTGACAAATTCAAATCCCATTTCAACTGCTGATAATAATTTCTGACACAATTAATGATGATGTTTAAAGCAACAGCTCAAATTTTAGTTGACAATTACAACTGGCAGTGTATCAAGCGGAACAGTGGCAAAGGCTGCATTACAGAATGGCTTGCATTGCAAGCCATTGCACAAACTGCCCTGAGTTCAGATAATAAAACACATATGTACAATACACCAATAACGTCACCATAGTTACATCCTGAAGCTGAACAGAATGAACTTACAATCTTGCATAAAAGTCACAAAACTCTTTGTAGAGTTTTATCTCACTGTGCCTACGTTGCAGTTTTGACACTGGTTTCTCCCCTTCATTCCCTGCGGAGTTGTGAGCATCAGGAGCGACCTGGTGTGCAACCTCTTCATCCTCCGGGATGGGGTACGGGTGAGCTCTGCGCTGGAAGTCCATCTTTCTCAAACTGCTTTCCTGGGTGTATAATATCCTGTGCTTATACTGCAAAGAAGCTGCAGGCAAAGTCTGCAAAACAATATGCTGGACTTCCCCTTGTTCCCAGGAAAGTCATTTACTGTCGCAGCTCCGTGTCATGTAGCCGGAGCTGCTCAGTGCTCTGCTACAGCTTCAAGTTAAGAGTTCAGCGGCAGGGCAGCGAGCCCGTCACGCCAAGAGTTACTGATGCTGGCTGCGAGCACAGGAGCACATTCCCCTGCCAGGCCCTCATGCAACCTCGGGATGCTGGAAAGTGGCTTCGCTACCGGCTGCTGGTGGAAGTCGCCCAAGAGAGCTGCCTTAGGGGCAACCTATGGCAGCAGACACATCCACTGCCAAACTTGTCCACAGCCACTGTCTGCTGAGGAGGGGGAAGGTGGAGGTGGATTCCAGTAATATTTAATGGTGGCAAACCGTCAGTGGAAAGCACAGAGAGAAGATTTCTGTTGTTAGGTAAATATTGCTTTAATGCTACAATGTATTAACTACATTGTAAAAATGGCCTTTAATGTTCCACTTATGTCTTAAAGTCACACATGCTGAATTTATCTATAGGCATCTACCTTCTTGCCAGCACTTCACAGAAGGATGTAGGCACAGATGGACCATTAACCAAACTGCCAGGAATTCTATAATGGACAATATATGAAGAAGGAAAAACAAAACTTGATTTCCAAAGATGTTCTGTGTTTAGAACAATTACCTAATGTAAGAACACTTACTGAACTAATTTACTGTGGGCATTAGGAAACTGAGAGAGCAAGACCAGGAAGAAAGAACAAAATTAATAATTCCTTCACCACAAAATGCCCTCCCAATGTTGCAATTATTTCATAGTTATATTCTATTAAAAATCCTGTTGTGAACTGCTTACTAGGGAAGGCAGGGTCGACTGGCTGAATTTCTGCAGCTAACAATTACAGCCCTGCAAGCTCTGATTGCTTTAAGAGCAGCATTTGTGGCAGATGTGGCACACTAAGCTTCCAGGAACTCCTAATTCCAAACAAAAGTTTTGGGAAGCTGTCCTGACTAACTGTCTCTAGCACTGAATTGGCAAACCCCATGCACTTTGTGCTCATGACACACGTTTGAAAAATCTGCTAGTCTGTGAGGGGCCATGAGAAAGCAGAGGAGAGGTGACCAACATAAGGAACAAGTAGAGAAATGAGGACCAGAAGATGACAGGGGGTCCAGTCAAGGCTACTACTTCTTAATGCCTTCACCTTCCTCGTACCTACTGCGGAGGGTCTAGTTTGTGATAGTTTGGAGCCAAATCTCTCCTCACTTGCTGGGTCAGCTTGCTTTGCAAGCATACAGCAACACACACGCCACTCTCCACAGCAGGCCTGGGCTCACACGTAGCCACTTTTGTGCAGCCTGGACAACACAGGACTATACTTCTGCTGCCACCAAATTTGTGGGATGGGTTTGGTCAGGTGTCTTTCCTTCACTTTCCCTTGGCAGGAAAAAACTCTGGGCAAGTTATTCCCCTGCACCACAGGACACCGCAGAAGGTGCAAACACGGCAGCATGACCTTGCTAATCTACCCATCTGTAGGTGTGATTATCCATCTTGCACCAGAGCTACAGGGAGTCACAAGTTCTAACAGGCCAAAGGAGGCTGCACCCTCACCACTCACACATCTTGGCTGGAGTTCAAGCCCTATTTTTATCTGTCATGGAGCAATCTCCGGATCAAGCAATGCTCAGGTTGTAGCCCTAGGCCACAATGAACTTGCCAGAGCTCCACTGCAAGAAACAGCATGGGAAGAAAAGGTTTCTGTGTCTGCTGGACCACCAGTGATGAAAGCCAGTGGAGCTGCAGACATTGTGATGCCAGCAGTCCTTCTCCATCCTACTTCTCAAAATTTCCTGCACAGGTCAATGGTGAGATTCTGTGGGTATGAAAAACTCCAGGAAGCCTGACTGAAATGGACTAATCATGCCTATTCATGCAGGACCAGTGCAGGTGCACCAAGTCACTAAAGATAAAGAACAGGAAGTCAGTCTGTCTCTTCCCCTTATCACTGACTATCTACTCAATTGTTTTCTTGTATTTTGTCTTAGATTGCAAGCAATTCTCCTGGAAGGCTGCTACTGTGAATCAGACAGCCCTAAAGAGTTTCTTTCTCCCAGTGGATTACTTCAGTCCTTGCAGTAACCTGAAATCCACAGGCTACTAAGGTGGCTGTAAGCCACTTCTACTGCCTTGTGTCTTCTGGGATCAACAGGAAAATACTTACTTTTTCAGCTTGCTACTGTGCAGTCTGCTGTATGGCGGTAGCCAAGCAAGTAGTACAGCCAGTCAGTGCAACAAGATGTCCATCCAAAAAGCCTGTTGTAATTTTCCTCCCTTTTTTTCAGGAAGCAGTCCTACAAGGTTATATGACTCTGTGTGTGCATCAAGTAGAAGCTGCCTGATTCTCAAGGCCTGTAGTCATTGCTGTTGGTGGAATTACTCCCAATTTGTTTTCCATTAAGCAAGAAGCTTGCCATGAGTTTAAAAAGGGCTTTTCTGCTACTGAAGCAAACCACAGTTTCTACTGTAAAAGTCTCATAATCCACAAATCCAGAGCAGCTGGCCATCTTTCTCTTTTCTGACATTTTTCCAGAGGCATGCAGCCAAGGTCTGAAATACACCCTTAAAAATACACGGCATTTTCATTAGGGAATTCTAGGTTACTCTGAGGTGAAGTGTCCATGGGGAGCAAGAAGCGTATGGGGGCTGTTGATTTGCAGCAGCAGCTTTCCAAGGGCGCTCCTTGGGATTTGGAACAAAACCTACTAGCCTACCGTTAAGGAAGCAGTGATAAGGAGAAAGTTAAGAAGCTGAGTATTTAACTAGAAAAGGTAGGTAGGAAGGAAGAAGACCAAGAGGCTTCCGCTGGCACACCGAGGATCTCTTCAGAAGCCAAAGCCAATGGTGGGGAAGGTGCTAAAGGAAACAGCAGAAGCCGGGGCAGGGGGGCACTGGAGCTACAGAGAAGCGCTTCGGGAAACAACAGCAAAAACAGCCACACTGCTTTCTCATCACTGATGGACAACTGCTGTCTTCCTGCTCACACACTGCTTTCTCTGGAGAACTTTCAAATCCAGCTGCCTGTGCTGGTGGCTGGCAGAAGCAGACAGGGACTCTTACAGAGAAGGCTCGGTGGCTGGCCAGCCCCTCTGAGTGTTTCGCTCCGTGCCACAAATAGATGTGCCGAGCAGTCACGGCTCCAAACAAGGTCCTTGGCAAAAGCAGCTGCTGCTTGGCAACCTACTTGTGCCACCGTGAAATATCACTGCGTCACCAGCACTGTCAGGAGGCCACGTGCCCTGTCGGATTATGCCAGGAGGGATATGTAAGCACAATGCATCCCTCTGCTTCCCACATAGGTAAGGGTGATTTCATTTTAATTATATTTAACATGGATGCTATGCAACAGTCCTCAGACACAAAATACAGAACAACTAGAAGAGAAGTTCTGCTGGAAAATATGCATGGACTTGCAGTGCCCTGCAATTTTAAAAGCACTAATTGACCTTTTGCATCTTTTTAAATTGAAATTAAAAACACTCTTGGGTTCTGGTTGCTGCAATTGTTTACCTCTTAAGCAATAAAATACTTTCTGTGTTAAGCTGGTCTCCTAAGGCAATTTTAAAGAAGGTATAAATCTTTTCTATAATAAAGATGCATATTACAGGTAGGATTTTCACATGTGCTCAGCACTGCTCTTAACTTCTGTTTCTGTTAAAAAGGATGGAAAACCATCTTGAAACCACTGTAATAAAAACCAGGTGAATTCTGAGTGCTCCTGTAAGTTCCATCCTTTACTCTTTGCCACAAAAAGCATAATTAAGTTTATGCGGTGGGAGTTTAAACAGAGCAAATAAAAAGGCAACTTTATCTGTTTAATATGCTTCAATACAAATTTATTCTAGTATAAACATGTCCAAAAAATGCGTTGGCCTCTGAAAACAGAGAAGGTTCACATTCAATCTCTCCATAAGGAAATGAATATAACTGGAATAAACAGGTAGGCAGCACCTTCCTACACAACTTTTTATTAGCCTTATCAGCATACTGAAAATCAGTCTCTGACGGGAATCATAGAAAGGGACAACAATATTTCATTAAAACACTTTCTTGTTGCAAGTAATATCTTAAAAAACTACTGTCTTTTCTTCCTGCTGGTTAGAAACATTACTATATGAAGCCATGCTTAATGTAAAACAGAAAAAAATATTTATCAAGTACAGATACTTGATACTCTTTAAACCAGCCATCTTCCTCCCCCATTACTGTTTTTTAAATCCTACAGACAACAAAAAGACATGGTATCATATATGAGAAGCTCATGAGAGCTCTAATAAGTTTGTATTGCATGAGATACAGCACACTATCAGTTATTCTTAAAATATGCACCCTGTGTAGCTGCTTATACACTTAACTATGGTAAATACATACAGTAAATATATAAATATATATATTAAAAATATATATGTCTAAACTCTTCCAACTCGACACATTTTAAGGATGCTTTTGCAACAATGGATTTCATACAACAACATTAATATTCCATTTCTAATTTAAGAATAATTTAAAAGATCAGCTACTCAGTATTAGGGGCTACACATCAAATGTCTCTGAGACACTCAGTCTGAAAAGAACCATCTTTTCAAGACTGATGAGTCAAGGTCAGGCCCAGCAAGCTCAGAAGTGTTTTTCTGTTTGAACACACACATAGTGAACTTCACAACACCAAAATCAAGTTCTAAAATGTGAAAGTGTTTGGGCAGAATAGTGTTTATACTGGTGGAAATCAAACCACCACAGAAACAAGGGACACACAACAGAGCATGATCAGGCAATTGCAAGCAAACTGCAACTCAGTGCATGTGTGCTCCTTCCCTGTTGCTAAAGAACAGAGTTGAAGTTCAAATACATAAAAATGTATGAGGTTTATCTTTGGATTTTCTGACATTTCAGGAAAACAGTATCCTGGCTTTTATCAGGAATTGTGCAGGCAGCAGGAGTAGGGAAGTGATCGTGCCCCTGCATCCGTGCA